CTGCAGTTGTGTTGTTTGGTAGAAATGTGAACGCCCTTCAAGAGAAAACCTAAAGTGAGTGACTTTTTGGGAAAAAGTATATTAGGGTGATCAGTCTTTCTTAAACATGTGTGTCTCTCATGTATAAGTTTGCTTGATATGATTTGTCTCTAGCTCTGAAGATATCTCATTGGGCTGGCCCAAGTCCATTTTATGTTTTCAAAGTGGGCACACACTATTGTCTTCTGTATCATACTGCGGTCATCAGGTATGTGATCAGGAGTTCTCCACTGGCTTGAAAGCATATAGTGAAATTCTTCGGAAAAAAGGCCTCACATGCCATCCTTTACTGTCTCCAACAGAACCTGGAAAGTAGTACTTATCGTGAGGAAAAAAGGATACGGCCCAAAAAGTTTTCATCTTCTCCGTCTCTGCTCGAGTTTCTTTCCAAAAGCACTTCCACAGAAACAATCGTACACTTGGAGTAGCGCTGCCCGCACGTTTCGGCTTTACTTCAGCCACCAATTCATACTGTATCATGATTGTGTGTTCTATTTGCTTTTGTCATTTACAAGAGCATCGCTGCATTTGAGGAAAGTCAGAAAAAGTCGTAAAATCCTTTTCGAAAAGAATTACAGATCAGGCTAGAAAAGACTATATAAACTGAATTTGTAAAAATTTCACAGAAAATTCAACTATAACTTGAATCTAAAAAATTAAATTGAAAAGATTGCTAACACCATCACGGATTTGTGAAGTAAAATGTGGCCGGATCAACTGTACGTACTGCGTCGATCATAAAATCTGTCAGCTACGTGGAACAGTGTATTTGGTCACATGCGAAGGATGCGGTCAGAAATACGTTGGTGAAACGAAGCGCCCGCTACATAAACGGATGGATGAACATACACGAGCGCTGCGGAATCCATCTTCTTACCCAAGGAGTGCGTTCTCGTCACATCGTGTACTGCATCACCGACGAAGAGCACCCCTCCCCACCCCCACCCTGAAAGTTACCATATTACACCGCACGAAGGATGCCCCATTAGAAGAGGAAACTGCTTGAAGCGCTTGCTACTGACCGCTTATCCCCCGAATGCACAACAGGGATGAGCTCATGGAGGCATTGAGTAATATCTTAGCGGTAGCGATACAGGATTCCTCACAATTAGTCACGCGCATCGCACTTATAGCAACTTTTAATTTTGCTTACGAGTAGTGTCGGGGTAAACCCTTGATGAGTTGTGTCGTTAACAGTTGTATTACTTTCGTATGCAGGGGTGGCCAAGAAAAAGAGTTAATCCGCTCATGGCGCACATCATCAAACTTTTCGCCGCACAGGGTGCCACTGTTGATGAAAGTTTAATGGCGAAATATCCCTCAGAAGACTTCCTGTAGGTAGAAGCAAGCTCTTATTTACGGCCCTCACTGTCCTGAAAATATGATAACATTCTCGATCACCGTTTAGCTCGGGAGCTCTATGATAATTGCTCAAGAGTGAGCTGTTACGAAAATTACTTATAGATTGCTTCTTAGGGGCAGTAGCTCTGAATGTGCAATACCCCTACCGACTAGCATTTCGATAACATCACAATGGTCCGTAATCCGTCAAAGACCACGTGGAGCTTGAATTGTGCACAAGAGTGCTTTGGCAAATTCTTGTGATGCCTCTTTGTGCAGAAAGCTATTACAATGTTGATTGATAAGTTTGGGATGTGCTCTCCAAATACTGATCGAGGCAGGTCGATTTGAATCTAACAAAGTGTGGTTTATGTGTGGTCAAATGTGGAGTGAAGTGTCTCTTTCTTTGGCTACCCGTGTATATATTGTATTGCAGAATTTAGCGACTTACTGTTACTAGTCTGATTTGTGCTTTCGTGCTAAGGCTTTTAAGAACTATTGTACGATGTATACTTGAGTTGCAATTTTAAGGTCTGAAGAAGCTGCTAATACAGCGAAAGCGAATGCCAATAGTGAGAGCATGTCAATAAAGCTGTATGAATGAGCCCACAGTATTCCTGAGGAAGAACCTATGCAAATGAGGCTCAGGGATGACTCGATTTTGACAACTATAAGTGCCTATTGAGACAAAGAGTAACCCTTCCAAACTTCTCTTATATTCTACAAAATTTTGGAAACAGTCGAGGTTCATTGCCCAGATTTATCCATCGTTCTGAACAAAGTTGCTTTGAGAATGAGGTCACAAATGAAAGCGTTGGTATCAACTTGGAAGTTTACCATCCACATAGCAATTAAGCTTACAAGGATGGCTTGAGGTTGTTAGAACCATGCAGTTCGAATCGTAGTCAATTCACGTGCTTTTTCCAATTACGGTAGACCGTCAGTTACATTCACAGTATCGTCAAGCGACCATTGCAGGCCCATCCCACATTTAATCCACGATTAGAGGCTAGCTCAATATTTATTCGGTTAATCCACACCAACCCTTACGTTCTTGGACATTTATGTGTTACTTTGCTATTAACTAAACAGCGCTTGACCCATTAGATGTAATAAATGCCATAACACATACATATTGCGCCACGCACACTACACCACTTTATCGCACTCACATTTCGCGTTTGTCATCTTCTCCTGTCCTTGCAACATCCGTTTCTCCGTGAAAGCCGTCTCATCTTGCGCAGAGAAGATTCGCATCTTAGGGAAAGGCTAAGCCTTAGCGCGTTCTTCCGTGAGGTATTGTGTGATCTGAAGCACGACTGCTTTTCTATACCCCATCCTCCAGATTAATTTGAATTCTTCGATTCACATCATTTAAATAAAAATTTATATCGAATCAAATAAATAGCGTAGTTATTCTGTAATGGCATTTGCAGATTCAACTTAGTTTTATTGATCACGAGGCTTCAATAGATTCTTCACACTATGACGGGCCTTGCAGCGTGCTTCATACAAGAAGAAATTGACCTTGGTAGACGCTCGCTGGTAAAGCCATCACAACACCTGTCGGACGAGGATATTTACATACACCCGATGGTGCGACCTCCTTCTGTCATGCAGTGCCTAGAAAAATATTGACTAGTTAGGTAATCGTTAGAGTATTAGCGATTGAGGTCGCAAGAATACTGCCAGTAAGCAGGGAGGGTACATCACGTGTCAATTTGTGCCAATTCTTTATATATCTGTTCTCCATCCATTGACAAATAGCGCTTCCACGGAGGCGACATAATGCCCTGCGAACGTTGAAATATGGTTTAGAAAAAGGTTGTGTCCAAAATAGCGCTAAAAAACTTAACCGCGAATTTTCGTACAAGGTGAGTGACGCATAGCGAGAACTTGGAGCCGAGAGGGATACCAGCCAATCAATTTGATTTTACCAATTTCACAAAGGCAAAAGAGAGTGAAACAATCAACTTGCCCTTCACACAGACAATCTGGCCTTGACTTGTTGCAGGCTCTGAACCTCTGTCTAGTGCCACAGGAACCGCAAGTGTCAGAACAATCCGACCATTCTCTCCATTCGGCCCAAGTTGACAATGAACATGAAGCCGTCGTTGATAGTATAAATTTAGTTAATAGATAGGACTTTTTGTTTGATTCGTCGTACCTATTACTACCTTTTGCATCTATAAACCAACTTATAGCATCTGGCTTCAGTATCGATCTGAAAAAATAATCGTTTTGAGGGAATTCTGAGACTTGTCTTCAGAAGACAAAATAACATGATGCTTGCAGCTGTAACATAGCAAATAGCGGGACTACCTAGGAATCATTTAGGTTAGCTCTCGCGCCTCAAAACGACTAACTTCAATTTACTTGATTCTAGAGCAGCCAGAGAATCAGGGAGGGCACTGCCTTGATGAGAGAAAAAATAAGAGTAAGGCAGACACAGACTATATCTCGGAAAACAAGCAAATGTATAAAATTATGTTATAATACACAGCGGCAATATTTCTTACCCCTGGAAGTATTGCTGTGGTAGTTGTGGTCGTGGCACAGGTGATGTTGTAGTTCCTTTCAAAATCACATCATCGTGTGTATTACTCATTAGTTACAGTAACTATGTATGTACGTATTGAGCATGATACTTTCAAAACCTTAAGAAAACTTACTTTCCACGACGGCACAGCTCAGACTCTCAACGGTGACATTTGACGGAGTGCTCCACCTGGCTTGGTTATTGCACGTGAGAGTGAGATTTGCTCTCACAGGCATTCGTACTAGCTGCTGATCGCTTGAGCTTATCAGAGCCACATCGGAGACAAAGCTCAAAAACACTCCGTTGAAAAAGCATAAGTCCACATCTGTAAACTTAGTTGTGAGGTCTGGTCGTATCTACCACAATTTCCAGGGGCGAATGTGAGTATGCTTAGCTGAAGCAATCTGAGTCCTGAACATAAGATATGAATTTAAAGAAAATATTAGGTACCGGATATCTTAGTGTCGCTTTTCTGAGTTCAGGAAGTTTTGGGGCCGATTACTATGGAAAATCAATATCCCAGAAGGCAGTTTTTGCTCATTAATATTGCGAAATATGTTGCTTACCGTCTTCTATTGTTGGTTCACAATTTAACTTTCCCCCAATTTTTATACTTTCTTCTGAAAATTCCTGGGTCCAGTGTGCAAATTCGCATGTGTGTACCAAATGCATCAAAATTCTTGCTGAGAGCTGTAACCTCCGCCCACCAAACCAGCATTGCATTTGATGGAGGGAATACTACCATTTAAAATGCTCATCGGTTTTTCACAGTTTTCTTAAAAGACAGTAAAGTCTTTGAAGGGATGCCCGCAACCGTCGCCAAAAAGGTGGTCCTAGCTAAATCAGTCAAAACGGGGCTGCACCAGTCTTGTGCTGGAATGGTAGGACACCCTAGCAGTTACTGATCGATGGTTGATTGACCAAGAAATTCTAATAAATGTGCTCATCTGCTACTCACGTGTGCTCAAAAAGGGTGCGCTTTTGACCCCACGTGGGAAAAAAGATTCCGGGAAAAATTGTCCAGTTGAGCTGGTAAGTAATAAATTTTCCACCAAACAGTGCAGACCCTACTCTAACTAAATGTATACATATTTTGTCCAGGCCCAACTGTTTAGCAAGGTAGAGGGATGATTTGTCAGATGATGTCAAATTCGACCTACCTCTCTTTTTCGTCTCAAAAAATTCCTAACTTTAATCGTACGAGGTTTTCACTCATACTGGTAAATGGGAAAGGGCTAATGAGTCATTCGATGGATATGCCGTTTCACTCACTGGATTTTGAATTAAAATATTGGTGGTCCGAAACTCGCGGTGAAAAAACGACACTAAGATATCCGGTACCTAATAGATTGAAAACCAGCTAGTAACATTGACTGAAGTTTTTCTTCTACAATGTAGGTAGCGTAATAAAGACATACTACTTTATAAAGGACAATCGATAATCGCAGCTTTCAAACCTCGGCAGCTCCATCCATTCACTCCTCAAAGGGCGGTTGATTCAATTGTGTACGAGTTCCGGTTTATACAACTTTTGGGGCCTTACACTTCGACTCCAAAGCCTCACTCCAGGATAGCAAGGTGTCTTTATCGGGGTCTCATTATGAATCTGTAGGAAGCCAGTGGTCTGCCGATTGAGAGAAAAAGGGAAGAAATTACTAGAAATGCTGCAGGACCCTTTTTGCAGTTGCTTGTTGCATTGTACGAGCCTACGAAAAAAGGCGTGCGTGAAGGATAAAAGAAAGGACGAGGTATGGTTGAGGCACGCTAGACACAGACACCAGCGTGGCATCATTTCCAAGGCGTGTACCGCAGATAGGGCGGAGATTGCAAGTGGTCAGCCCTTATCACAAATCCTCACAACCTGTACGCTTTCGGACCCGCCTACTCCGAAAGAGAAGGGGTTTGTGTCGCTAAGCTAAGCGCGAAATGAATTTTCAAGTGTGTATTCACGTCAAGACGGTCGCTGTTCCTTCAGCTACCGTAGAACTGTTTTGCTCAACTCCCTAGCAAGTACTAGTACAAAGCGAAAAGAAAAGCGGGAGTGTTGATCTAAAAACACCTTCCGTGGTCAAAGAGGATAAGATTTGAACGGAAGTTTGAACCCCAAAGCTATTTTGGTCTTCTATATTCCACTTTTCTACTTGGTTCTCATTGTGAAGCCACTCTAACAATTTGAAGGTAAACTGAGGTTGATCAAATGAGAAAAAAAGGACGGACGCTAGCTCGCTTGCTTCGTAACGGTCCATAAGCGTCTGGACCAACTCTGTTGGACTTTTCAGCCACTCAACAGTTCCCTTGATTTCCCTTCGCTCTGCAGCTTTCTCCAGGGTCAACCGTGCGTGGGACAAGGTCCAACGAGGGGTGGGGGGGGGTCGCATTTCGCGAGGTAGCGTGTAGCGTTTATGTTACAGTAAGGGCATCCCTTCTTTCCCTCCCCCCTTCTTCGCTCGACGGTAATTTTGGAGGAAAAAAGTGGGCGGAGTTTGGGCTGTGTCGACTGGTCTCAGAATCGAATACTATAGAATGAGCCCCATGATGGCGATGGCAGGCGAGGGTGGTGAAGGGTTGACCCTGAGGGGGGGGTCGTATCGAGGCCCTCTAGAAGGGGGAGGGGGGTCGTAAAATTTTCGAAATCGGTCCAACGTGACGGTTGACCCTGGCTTTCTCTCTAGCGATGACTGTACAAGTTTTTGATGATAAGACTTACATCTGGTGCCGAGCAAGAGAGGGCTACGTTGACGCACACGCCCGTGTAGTAGGTATTCATTGTGAGGAAGCCGTAACTGTAGCCAGGTGGTACACTTGTCACCAGCATGCGGTTGCAGTTCGAGCACGGAGCTAGAAATGAATAAATCATGAAGAGTTCTTCTAGAGATTCTTGAAAGTACTTCCTTACCAGAACCAGCCATAGTAGTCGTGGTGGAGGCTATAGTTGTAGTCGTGATGGGTGACGTTGTTACACCGCTGGGTTTCCCTAAAGAAAAATTGATTTCTCTATCAAACCTTGAGAAATCTAAGAAATTGATACATATAAATTCAGTTAAGAATCGGACTGACGGTAGAACTGAAGGGAATTGAGAGGGCAAAAGTGTAAGCCTAAAGAGAAATAAGGTAGTGGGCAAAGGTAATTCTTATTGGGTGCGGATCTTT